CATCTGTCTCTTATACACATCTAGATGTGTATAAGCCCCCTGCTCTGTCCTTTGTCAGTTTCTGGAAGACGTCAACAAATTTCCTCAACCGTTTCGTCGTGGTGTATGGTGGCGAAGGTCATCGTGTCGAACACGATCATCGTCTGCTTTTCGGTGTCGTCATGACGAATATAAAAAAGGCAGTCCCCAAGTCCTATCGAACACAACACACACCACGACGTCCGTCGTGTTCGACACGACAACGGTCGCTACAGACCGTTTACTGTCTTGTTCCACAGAAGAAATAACCGTCGTCGTGTTCGACACGACAACGAACACACGGCAACGGTCGCTACAGACCGTTTACTATCGTGTTCCACACGACTTAACCGCGGAAGAAACATTTGTCGTCGTGTTCGATACGACAACGGTCGCTGCACGTTCCGCAGAAGAAACAACTGTCGTCGTGTTCGACACGACAACGGACGCTGAATGCTGTCTACTGTCGTGTTTGATCGAGCGTGGGCACAAAAGAAACATTCGTCGTCGTTTTCGAATCGAGGGGCGTTCTTCTGTGTGTCGTGTTCGACACGACGACGCATCACTTGGCCTCCCTCGCTGTGCCTCGCACGACAGCCGCGTTGCCGTAATTTTGAATACGTCAGAAAACTGCGACCTTTGCGACTACGGTGCACGGACACGCCGAGTGGTAACGTCGTTTCGAAAAAGACAATCAACAATATGGCTAGTCGAAGAGTTCAGTTCGATGGCCAAGGCGTCGAGCTGAACTCCGACGGGTGCCTCTAACCTGCCATCCTCATGTCAAATTCATCACGACGGCACACGTCTGGTTGTATTTCATGCGCACTGTGTGTCGCGCTTCTAGTTATGAGCGATCTCCCACAGTCACTCTCGTTCAAGAGAAGTGCTCAGACTTAGTTGCGTGAGGACCACGACAGTGTGCATTGCACCCGCAGAGCCTGGTATCCGGAAATCATGAGTGAAGTCCATTTCGTGTTGGACACGATGGTCGCGTTGACACGGTCGATTACATGCTCAGTCTTGGTTCTTGGAGCTCCTCGTCTGCCGTCGATAGTGAGTTCCTTAAACGACATCGTGTTCGTACTTTGCACAAGTTTGCTAAAACATCTTTTTGTGATTGCCCCGACGATTGGGCAGATGTGCCCTTTTCTGTGTGTGTTTGTCACTCTTTTGCATGTCTTGCGCCTTCGACATTGATTGCCCCACTAACAGGACTCATGAGTCCTCACCCGTCATCAATTCTACATGTTTCAAACCCGATCTCCGTGCCCTTGTGAATGTTTCCTCTTCATGCTCACATTCCAAGGTGGTATGCTCTGCCCGTTCGAATGTTCTCTCTTCCCCTCCGTGCCCTTGTCAGGATGTGTCTTGCACGTCATGATCTTCGCCTTTCCGATATTAGTTACCAAAGTGATATGTGTTGCATTTCTCGCTGCCGTTTATATCAGTTGTGTGTTCCCTTTCATTAATCTCTGGTTTTCGTTACACTTTGTTTCATGTCTTGCGCCTTTGACAGTGATCCACTGTTTTGTCATCGCAGACACATCTCGTACATGGCTTATGGTGTGCATGCTATGCCACGGCAAGCTGGCAACACAACCTTGGAAAGCATAGACTGTGTGGCATCTAAAACCCAACTTAATGACAATTTTCCTCCACCGGACCTGCCAATGTGTTTACAAGATATTCGAAGTGATTAGGAACGTGTCAACAATACTCCGAAATCTCTTGCTTCAAAGAGGTCCCGGATTATTGCATGTCAAGATACCACATGTGAAAGTGCATCTCCGGCCTTGAGCGGCCTGGTACAAATCTCTGATACAGACAGTGCGGAAGGTCAGGGTAAGGCCTCCTTTGCTGACAAGAGCACGTCCGATGTAGACCGTGTTGTATGGGTGCCGAGAAGTTCACTTCGATATTTCGAGTAGGCAGGTCTTCTGTTTGGTGAGAGTGATGAAGATGGTTCGGATTCAAGTGCTTCGATGTCGTCTAGTACCGACAGTTCTCCAGATAAAACTGACCATCTGCAAACTTACGCTAACCACAACACTGACGGTGACTGACCACTGTTGTCGAAATGACGATGGAAATTGTGATGTCATCTCTGATTTCGATGACATTTTTTCGAAACATCTGTCCTCAGAGAAACGTCCTTATACTTTTCGTGTCAGGATGCCACGGTCAAAGAAGATTCTGCAATCAGTTCATAGAAAGCTCACAAAAAAACACTAGCGAGTGTGCGTGGACAAGTTTGTTGTAAGCGAGAGTGTTGCGCTCATTTGACCCTGGAAGACATCAAAGCTGTCCGGAGTGCATATTACTCTAAGGACCAGAAGAGCAGGGATGCATGGTGGGTTGAAACGTTGAAGAGGTTCACCTTCATAGAAGATAGGAAGGAGATTGTTCAACCTATTGTGGGAAAAAGAAAGGTGTGCATTAGTGACCGGTGTTTCACACTAGGTGCATGTAGAAATACGTTTCTAAAAAAAATGATGACTTTGTCAAAAGGCTACATTATGCCGGAGTATGGCAGCATTGGACTCAGACACACATCAGCAACATATGCGACAATATATAGGAAACTAAGCTCCTTCGTGCGAGACAATGAAGATTCCATGCCCAATGACATGAAGATCAAAAAAGGAGAATCGAGAGTGGTGTTGAGATTGCCTGCTTGTTATAACAAGGTTGATATTTATAAGTTGTTAAAGTCACAATTCGACAACATGGGTGTTCCTTGTGTTTCTCTCCAAGTTTTCAACAACATGTGGAGAACACACTTCTGGCATGTGAAATTTCATGACATTGATCAAGACTTTGCAAAATGCGAGAAGTGTGTCGAATACAAAGAATCTATCAATTCTGCAAAGTTCGTATGTGTACGTGAGTACTTTATTTTGGAACGCGAGAAACACTTGGACTTGCAACTCCGACATCGTGCTGCGTATGAGGTGTGGAAGGATGAGTTGAAGAGACCAGGTTTTAACAGTTTATGCATCATTATTGACGGTATGGACCAAAGCAAAACCTGTATTCCACACTTTGGCGGAGAAAACAAATTGAAGGGATGCGCAAATATTCCAATGTTGAAAATTAATTTAACAGTTATTATTGCACACGGCCGTTCATCATCGGTCCATGTTCACACATGGTACCCTTGTTATCCACACGATTCTAACGTTGTGGTGTCATCCATTATGAAAGTTTTGCGTGACATACAGGCGACAAGCGACTTGCCTCCTAAACTGAGGATACAAGGAGACAACTGTCGGAGAGGAAACAAAAACAGATATGTATTGGCACTGGCTGCAGCTTTGGTGAAATTTGGCTTCTTCAAAGAAGTCGAATTCAATTTTATGTTAGTGGGACATACACATTCGGACGTTGATGTCACTTTCAGTCATTTCTCTCGCAAACTAAAAATGCATGATGCTTATACCATGCTCGATCTCTTTAAGCTCGTTGCCAGTGCCCAAAAAGAGCGTCCGTCGTGCACATTTATGATGAAATTGCTGATTGGCGAGGTGCTGTTGAGCCCTTCCTGGTCAAGAGACTGACCGGCCATACTCGTTCGCATGCATTTATATTTTACATGCAGGATGACAATCCTATGTTTTAGTGGAAAGAGTATTGCACTTCTCCTCAATGGTCTTCTCTAGTCTATTGCTTTAAACGAGATGGGAACAAATCATATGCTGGACCCGAATGGTTATTTGAGTCATCACTTGTTCTATCGTCAGTTGCTCTGCCTACTAAAGATAAGAATTATGGCTATTCGAGTCATCACTTGTTCTGCCGTCAGCTGCTCTGCCTGCTAAAGATAAGAATTCAAATTTCGAATCAGGAATTGAAGGTGTCAAGACGTTTGTTGAGTGGTTAGAGAACAAGCGGCACAAGTGGTTGGGAATGAAAGATTAAGTTAGCTCTCAAAGGAGAGTGCTCTTTCATACTGGAAAACTTTCCTCGAGACAGTCGAGAAAAATTATGGGTCCGACTTTGCAAAAACATCACTCAAGGTTGGCTTCTGACCCTCGCTAGACAGAATTAC